TTCCTTCCAAGCTGTATTTACTTGTTTACCTGCAGCTACATGGATAAATAGGAAATGAGGAGCCAAGAACTCACAAGAGGCTGAAAACTGAGGAAAAAAGGAGGAGGAATCCTTGGCACTGGGCTCAGGCACCTGACAGGCTTCTGTTCCCACCTCCTCAATCAACAGCTCTACCTATGGATTCACTTTGCATCCAACATGGCATGTTAACAACAGTCGCAAGGAAAACAGGGAGTTCCTGTAGGAACACACAAGCCCAGCTCATTCCAGAGGTGCATTTGCAGCTCAGCTTTAAGCAGGAGGAGGAGTCCAACCAGCTCAGTTTTCCTCACCACAACCAGATCCCTACCAATGGTTCTCCAGCACCAGGGAAGTGCCAAGACTGTGAGACTGATGAACAGAATCGTGATGGTTTTGGAGAAGTTTCCTTCCACTTCCAGAAGAATGAAAGAAGGGTGAGAAGATGATCAGCTGCTGTGACAGCACTAAAGGGAGAGTTACCACAGCTGACCCCAAATCTCCTTTGAGTGCTGTGAGCACTTAAAAATCTAATTTCTGTTCAATTCTATTCCAGTTTCTCGCTATGATACACTCAGCACCTCCATTCCCTGCTCGGGCTCTGAAGCCAAACCCTTGAATTCCAGGAACTGCCATTAAAACACCAAAGAGTGTTTTGTTGGGAAGATCACAGCCTTTCCATGGCATCCCAGAGCTTCCTAACAAACTGAGGAGAGCACTTTTCAGGGCATGGATGAGGTCTGAGAGCAGGAACAGCTCCCATCACATTTCTGACTGGCTCCTGGCACGCCTTTGCCTCAAGGTGGGTCTGTCCTTACTGGAAGCAGCCCAACCATGGCTTTAATTTCTTCCCATCCCCATTCCCACCCTCACAATGGAAAGAAATAACATCCTGTCTTAATTATTCGGCCTGTACAGTACTATGACCTCTAGGAACATTCCTGTAAAACTGGACCACAATTCCCATTTAGACTTCAGTGCTTTACCAAAAAGCTGCCAGGAAAAAGGGAAAGTGTTCCAGCTCCAGTGTGCATGGATATGACAGATGTATTTCTTTAGAAAAAAGATCAGACTAGAAAAATACTTTTGAGCTCTAAGTTATGCAGCCAAAGCTGGTTTTGAAGAATTCAAATCAAATCAACAGTAACAGGTGAAAAAAAAGATCCTTATGGAATACGTTGCCAGCATTGGAAATGGGATGCAAGGAACACTGAAATCATGAAATAAACTTCTAAAACAAAGTGTGAGGGTGGTTCTCAAGTTCACTCACTCCAGTCTTATTTATCCACAACTCCTTTTTCCTGTCATTACCAGAGCAGAGGAAGGAGGTGTTTATGGAGACGAGGGAAGGTGAGGGCCAACAGTCCATCATTTCCCTGGAGCAGGACTTGTGGCAGCAGGTTTTGAGATAAATAATGCTACAAACTCTTCAGCCTCCCCAGTAAATCCAGCTCTGCAGGGCTCATCCTGGATTTGAACACTGGCTAATGGTGAAGTCCCTGGATTCTACATAAACCATGGAAAATCGCTCCCCAGACAAGAATCCTGCCCCTCTACTCAGCCCTGGTCAGGCCACATCCAGAGTGATGTGTCCAGTTCTGGACTCCTCAGAACCGGAGTGACATGGAGCTCCCAGAGCGGGTCCAGTGCAGGGAACAAAGAGGATTAAGGGACTGGAGCCTCCCTTCCAAGGAAAGGCTGAGGGAGCTGGGCTTGTTCAGCCTCGAGACACTGAGAGGGGACCTCATCCATGTGTATAAATATAAAACTGGGGGGTGCCAAGAGGATGGACCAGGCTCTGCTTGGGGATGCAGAGCAGTGGGACAAGAGGGAACAGGTAGAAACTGATGCACAGGGAGTTCCACCTGAACATGAGGAAGAACTTATTTCCCGAGCACTGGAACAGATTGCCCAGAGAGGGCTTGGAGTCTCCCCCACGGGAGATATTCCAGAACCATCTGGACACAATCCTGTGCCATGTGCTCTAGGACAGCCCTGCTTGAGCAGATAGGCAGGGCCAGATGACCCACTGTGGTTCCTTCCAACCTGAAGCACTATGGAATTCTGAAAGATTTCCTTCCTGCAGCATTCCTTGTGTTATACAGAACTGCCGACAGCAAAAGCAAAAACTCCTCTTTAAACAGTTCCAAAGAGACCCTTCCCGTGGATACAAACCATTATCCAATGCTCTGCTCCACACAAGCCAAACACACTGATGGTGTGCCAGTGCTTCCAGGGAGGATCCCTCCAACACTGTACATTCACTTCCCACAGGGCACAGCTCCATGGAGCCCTGAAGCAGCAGTTTAACTGCAACAGCAAAGGAAAGGAGGAAAGCAGCTGGATAGCAAAGGTGGGATCCTGGGAGCCAGAGTGTTTACAATCCATTCAGGCTCAGAGGGAGACAAAACACGAGCACATCCTGCTCAGCTCAGGATGCCAGGCAGACCCAGGAAGTGTTGGGAGCTCCAGACCTCTGGAGCACGCAGCTCCCAGCCTTAATCCACCCAGGAACCATTGCTGAAAGTGTGTTTCCAAAGTGTCTCTTGTGAGGAACAAGGTGAAGAATTCCCCAGTCCAGCAGGAGGAGGTGGAGATGAGGCTGCCTCTCCCAGATGAGGTATCTGCTAAACAGGGATAATGTGGGACCTGAGGAACCTGGGTTGGAGAGAACAAGGAAGAGGCACCTTCACGTCTGGGACGGAGCCACCACCAGGAATTGGAGGCCAAAGGCGTTTCTTCCCAACGCGGGTGGGCGGCTGCTCCTGGTGAAGTTCAGCCACAAGGTTGTCCTGTGGGAGCAAGGACTCGGAATATACGGAATCACAAGAGGATCTCATTGAAAAGGCACTAGGAAGAAGCAATATAGTTTTAGGTTAACAAGATTCATTCTATTTCCAATGACTGAGTGTGCTAAAAAAGCTGTACAGTTTGGGATTTCTAGGAAAAAAAATGCTGCAGAATTGTTGTGGGTTTGTTTTTTTTTTAAACAGCAAAAGCGTAAAAAGAAAAGTAAAGCTCTTTTCAAATTATTAAAATGCTGAACAGGTATACAGCAAAATTATATTAAAAACAGCAGCAGACAAAGTCCATCCCATCACCACTGGCAAGGGACATGTAAAATGTTTATAAGGTTAACTATAAAACAATTTTACAACCAAAATATGAACAGGCCAATTCAAGTATATATATACAGAATATATTAAAATCATATAAATTATATATTTATACAAAGGGCACAAATATAGCAAAAAGCTATAGCTGATTAAACAGAAGTGAGCTTGAATGATCAATTTTCATCTAGAGATGTTATAAATTTCTCCCAAATTATCTTTTTTTTTTATTTAACCTGGATAGATTGATACCTCAGATACCAAGAATACAGAAAGCATAAGAAAAAAAAAAAACAGCCAAAACTCAAAGAATTGTTATGCTGCATGAAATGAACCTAACAGTGGGCAAGGTACATCTCATATGAAATTCTGATTTAATTATTTCCATAGTAAACATTTATCAGCTCTCTTAAAAAGTCAGGAATTTCAAGTGATCCACTTCAGATGTACCACCCTCGTGCATATATTTGATTGCATTTGAATGTTTGATTTGCAAACATTTGGGGGGGAAAAAACAAAAGACACAAACACAACTCAATCTGCAAAAAAAAAAAAAAAAGGTGACAGATGGCAGCAAGTTGAAAAGTGAACAAAAATTCTCAGCTGAACTGGAAATGATGCTCCCCTTCCAGCCAAAATGCTTTACAGTGAGCTTAAAAAATAACTTATTTTAAATTGTTTTTTTTTTTTATTTTAAACGTAACAACACGTAGCCACAATGCACTAAAGCACTTGAGAAACTAAACACTCCCAGCCGTGGGTTTATATTTAAACTCAGACTAAGTGCTCTCCTGAATTCAGGTTTATGCAAATCAGTTCTGTGTAAGCTGTACCTAAACCTGGTGTTGTGCTGCGGCACCACCCCCTTCATCCCTGCAGTGAAGCCTGGCTGCATCCCTGGATACGTCAGAGAAGCTGTGGCTGCCCCATCCCTGGAACTGTTCCCAGTTGGATGAGGCTTGGAGCAACCTGGTCTAGTGGAAGGTGTCCCTGCCCACGGCAGGGGGTGGAAAGTGGGTGATTTTAAGGTTCCTTCCAACTCAAACCATTCTGTGATCCCATGACCTCCACACACCCAAGGGTCCTGGACGTGCCAAGCTAAGTTAAGCAGAAATAAAAAGGCCAGACTACGCAGACACAGAAAATACTGGCTTAAAACTTAAGTATTCAAAACAGTAAAGTGGTTTTACCAGATGCAGAAAAAAAAAAAGACAGAAAAAAATCAGCCATCTCCCACACCTAATGGCCAGTGGATATCTATTACACTGAAAGGAAATCAATACAAACAGGATTTCCTCAGTTTCAAGTAATCTTTGATGCCTTTTTGGCCAGCTGTGTTATACCATAATAGATATTTTAATAGCTTTTATCCTCTACACTTTAGGCAGCTAATTTTTCTCTTACATACCCAATTATCTCTAGTGAACATTCACCTCTGGTTGTCCACACATTCTGTATTAGCTCCTTGAGAAACTATTCAAGTTAAATTATATTGCAAATTAAAGACAAGTTACATTCCGTATGTTCCTTCTAGATTTGAAAAATAGGTTTTAAAGGCTTGTCAAAGTTTAGAAGAGAAAACCTTTCCATTAAAAAATCTTAGCTTAAAAAAATCATTTAAGACACCTTTTTCTGATCCAGGGTACTAATAAAAAGATTACAAATATACTACAATTTGACCAAGAAGACTTCATGAATATGCTGCTTTTGAGCATGCAACAACCACTGATATCTGTCGAGTTCCAGGTATCAATGTATCCCAACTCCACCCCGGCCCCTCCAGCCCCACCCCGACCGCCCCCCCCTTATTAATAACATTATAAAAAAAGGGTAAAATCTAGAAGTTAGTGGCAAAAATCTTCACAGTAAAATCATTAAAGGAAACTTTTTATTGTGGTCGCCGCCGAGCGGCGTTCAGTCGATGGGGCCCTGGAAGATGAGCTTGACGCAGTTGTGCTCCCCGGAGAGCTGCGTGGCGCAGAACGGGCAGGCGGCGTGGAACGCGTGAGTCCCGTGGGGCAGCGGGATCTGGGACCAGTACTTGGCGGACTTCTCCGAGCACACGTGTCCGCAGGGGGTGAAGGCGTGGGTGGGGGGCCCCGCGTCCACGTAAAAACCGGCCTCGCAGCCCAGCCAGAGCGGCACGTAGGGGCCCACGGTTCTGCACATGGGGCACTCGCGCTCGTTGGCCTCCGTGTCGCTGCGGTGCCCCCAGTTGTGGTAGCCGTGCACGTGGCCGCAGCTGAGGTAGGCCCAGGGCTGCTTCTCCTCCACCACATCCTTCCTGTTGATGCTGGGAAAGGCCAGAGTGTTCAAGCCCACGGGGCACTGCGGCCTGGCAGCGTTGATCTCCTGCCGCAGGGCCTCGATGTGTTTCTGCGTCGGGGTGTGCAACAGTCCGTCCGCCGTCCTCCACAGCAGGGTGGCCCCGCACAGGTCGATCAGGGAGCCGTCCTGGAGGATGTTGGTCTCATTTTCTACCTGGTGGTGGGACACAAGGGGAGGTGAAGTTCAGCCCGAGAGCTCTGAGAGACAACCAAGTTAGTTCTGCAACTGCATCGTCTTGCTCACCAAAGCATCACCATCCCTACATGTCACTTCATTTTGTCTTATTGGTGCCTTGTGGCCCCTCCTCTGCCTGAATCCACCCCAAGTCTTATTCTGTATTTAAGACTATAAGAACAGAACCACAGAATCAACCAGGTTGGAAAAGACCTCTGAGATTGTCAAGTCCAACCTTCAGCCCAACACAATCTTGTCCCCCAGACCATGGCACTGATGCCACATCCAGTCTTTTCTTAAACACCTCCAGGGACAGTGAATCCACCACTTCCCTGGGCAGCCCGTTCCAATGGCTGATCACTCCCTCTGTAAGAAATTTCTTACTGATGTCTAACCTAAATCTTCCCTGGCACAGCTTAAGACTGTGCCCTCTTGTCCTAATAAGCATTGGTTTCTTATTCTGTGCTTGTACAGGAGGTTCAGCATTTCCAACAGCAACACTAATTATTATAAAGAGTCTTCCTGCCTGCAATTCCTTGGGAAAGGATATACCCCCCCACCCCTGAGCATGCACTTTCCCTCTCTAATATTGATTTCTCTGTGTGCCTTTGTCACAGTTCAGTAACTCATGATAGACTGAAGAGGAGACTTGCCATTCCCTAAGGGCTGCATTAGCAGGTTCTCTCCTGGAATTCTTTGCCCACAGAGACTGACAGAGGCTGCTCACTCAGTAAAAAATCCTTTTTGGACTAAAAACTGCTATCCAGGACAGTTCAGGTATTCCATGCAAATACAGCCCCAGTGTGCACTGCCTAAAGGCTTCTCTTGTCTGATTAAAAGCAGTTATTTGAAACATTTTCAAGGGATTATGACAAAACCACATTGTACTTCACTGAAATATTCCTGATTTTAATGTCACAAACATATAAGCAATTTGTGCTTTTCCTATCAGTTCAGTAATGATGAATATGTATTTAAAAAGTTCTTTATGAAATAAAGAGGAAAACAGACCTACTGCCTGGCTTTATACACACAAAGTATGTAGAAAATACCACTAATGCAAAACAAACACCCAAATACAAACAAACACATTAAGTAGGTCACATGAAATCATCATGTCTGCCTCAGAATACTATGAATGACAACCAATTTGGCATTTACATTTTAATCCAGTTTAAATTCACAGCTTAACTGTGGATCATCCTTGCACAAAACACCTCAATGGCACAATGCAGACCACAGATAAGAGGTCACCAGTGCAAAATACTTCCAGCAGAACAATTCAGTGGCTCAAGTAGAGATGAGAGAAGCCTGGATTTGATGCTCTTTTCACATAATTCCTTCACAAACAGCAAAGCAAAAAGCTCCCTCATATGCAACGTGTTCAATTCATTATACAAGCCTGCATTTGGTTTTATGAACCCAATCAACGAATACTGATCACATCAATACCAGCGTGCCATGTAATTTTATTGAAATGAGAATTCGAGTCATTTTGGATGCAGGGAAGGGGAATTCATTTGTTTTGCTGTGCCTTTCTTCAGCAGCACTAAAAAGGTGTTTTGCTACCCACGTACAAAGGGTGCAATTGCCACATCATCTGTCCCAGTCCCCGGGTGACGTTCGCCTGCCACTGTTAAAAAGTGACAAAGCAATTTATGTCCTGCAGGGTGTCTGCTGAAAGCAGAACAGTCCAACTCCATTTCCATAACTCCCTGAGCAGTCAGTTTTCTGCAAAGCCAAGGGCAGAGCTGGAAAGTCAGTTCAGTGTGTGGGATCCCTCCAACACCATCGAGCTGATGGGAGCTCAGGGTAGCAACACAAAAGTAACTTTGGCATGAAGAAGAGGAGGATATTCCCCCAGTCTATATGGTGGTGTTTGACTGCTATCATTTCTTATCCCTTTTCCTTCTGCCCCCAAAGGAAAAAATAAAATGCATTCTCCTTTGTAGGCTCTACAGGTCTTGAGAAGAGGAAAGAACAAAAGCTATGGGAATTCTCTCCCATCTTGTATTGAAAAGTGCACACATGCTTTCATGGAACTGGTTATGAATGTCACAGGTCTCTGGCAGCTGAAATCTCTCACTTCTTGTAAAGGCAAAGCCCATCCTGCCTCACAGGATAAAACAGGAATATACTTTCAGGGCTTCTCTTATCCTCCTAGTGGCAAGTAAATCAAACAGAAGGTGTGTTGTCCAAACTGCTTCTGCATGCAAGTGGACCCTTCAGACAGCACAGCTCCCCGTGCAGTAACTTCCAGACAGCCCCAGATCCCAGGAGAACATTGCAGAGATGGAGATTCAAGAGCAGAGTTTATTTAGCTTTTACACTCTGTGCTGTTTCACTTGGAAAAGTGGCTTCAGCAGCAAATTTAGAGTGTTCTGTATATCAGAAACAGAAGAGCAGTGCAGAACCTGCTGTAACACACACATATTTAAATGCTTTCAGTGCCCACCACCCAGGGACAACACTGACTCTGCAGTCACCCCACAACTGCCTCCACTCAGCGCCAGGAAAACAAGCATCCCTTGTTTTGTTTTAATCCCCAGTCACTCCCAACTCACCAGTTTCCCCCTCTGCTGGGCAGACCTGGTTTCCCGGAGCGTGTACACATCCCCACAGACCGAGATCTCCCGCCACACTCCGGGCTTGGACTCCTCCGTGAACCCTCCCTTGGGATGCATCACCAGCACCCCGTTGGTTGTCAATCCATCCATGTGGCCATCGGGATTTTTCCACTTTGCTGCTTTTTCCTGCGTGGGACAGTCACAGTGACCATCAAAACACATGAAACCAACCTGAAGCAAACCCACCAGCAGTTACTAAAGTGGAGCTCCACTGCTAAAGACAATTATGACCACGAGTCTCTGCTGCTCATAACTCAGGCACATAAAACTGCAGTTCCTCCTTAACACTGCAGCTGGTACTTTGGGGTAATAAAAGCCTAATGACAGTGTAAGTTATCAAGTAGTACAAGGAGATTTTGGGGCTTGCAAATAACAGAGAATAAAACCCAGAGCTTGCTCATAACAATTATTAGTAGTACTTACACCAAGAAATATGTTTTTAGACGAGTCAAAGCCAGCTGCAAAGATCCTTGCTGTGTAAGGTGGGCTCCTGTCACAAACTATCCTGCAGGCAAAGCGGGATATGGTGCTCTGGGTGATCTGGGTTTCATCATTATTTTGACTTCCAGAAATGGTATCTGTTACTACAAAGTCTATGGGGCTTTCTGTGGACCTCCCAACCTGCAAAAAAATAAAGATAAAAATATAAATAGAAATACCCATGGAAATACGAAGCACTGAGGCCACGGTTCTGACAAGTTAATATTGATGGCATCAGTAAAGTACTGTCTCCTCAATTTTTGGATGGCAAGATGCAATCAGAGACTCACCTGTATTTGTCACAGGCAGAAACACCTCACTGACATGGAATGGCAAATTTTCACTTACCACAACTGATGTTCATGTTTGCTTGAAACAAATCAACAGAGCTGATTGCTTTGATAGAAGTATTGTCAACAAAAAAAAGTATTATCACCTTGTATTTCCTCATCCAACCACAGCAAATTACTTATATTCTGTCAGTGAAGGAAACACTGGCTTGGATTGACAAGTTTTATTCACATTTCCAGTTCCAAGGCAATTTGCCATGAAAATAAAGGACTTTTTTTAGACACATCATAACAAAAAGCTACCCACCTTCACGTTTTCAGAATTGGTAGTCCCAGAAAGAAGAGTTTTCAGGAAAAACCCACCACATGATTAACAGAATTAATAAACTTTCTCCAGCAGAAATGAAACACACTTGATCAGTAGACAAGAATATTTTTCTATTTTGCCATCTATGAGTTTTAATTCTAAAACTGGGAAAACATCCAGGCATCTGGAACACTTCATGACACATGGATAGAGGGAACCTGACTGCCAACTAAACGTACAGTGAGGCTTTATCAATATTTCTACAGGCAAATTAGTGTTACACCAATTTTGAGCATAACTGGGAAGGGGAGCTGAGGAACAAGGAGAGGAACAGAATATTAATTTTAAAGACAACTTGTGATCAAACAGAATTAGGAATATTCCTCACACGAAACCACCTTCAGTATCAGGCATCTACATTTATATAAAATAGCCTCCTTGCTGCACAGGATCTCACTGTCCCCCAGGAAGTTACATTTGCTTAGTTCCTGCTTTTCAAAGCAATATGGGGAGATGTGTGTGGTTCCACCACTAACTAATATCTCTGCAAACTAAATTTGCTGCAAAGACACATTATTCAAGAGTCAAGGAAAGTAATATTATTAATACCTAAACTCCTGCCCCAACTGAACTGACAGAAATAGCACAGGGATCTCTCCTGTACTTCTCTTCTACTTCAAGCTCTACTTTGCAGGGTTACACTCCAACACATGTCAAAATTCCCATCTGATGTGACACATCCAGTTATTTTCTCCATCTCCCAGGTCTCAGCCCAAGTAGAAAATGTGATGAGTTTGCTGCAGAGGAAACACTCAAAAAGGCCTAATCAAAAGTGTACATTTCAATTTTTCACTCCCAGAACACCCCAGAGACAGAGTTTAGAAACTGTTTAATATGGGACACTTCTGATTTATAGAACTTGACAACTTGAAGCTAAAATTCACAAAGCAATATTCTTCTTCTTTTTACAGTATTATTTCTAACAGGCTTCTATTTCCCATCCAATGCAATTCCTGTTAAGAGTCAGCACCAGGAACCTTATGAATAACTTTTGACTATTCTCTGTGTGCAGTTTCTTAAAGAACAATCAACAACAAATATGAAATTAGTTTGTTCATAACAAGTTTCTGCCTGTTGCAGGCTCTGAAATAGATCATTCCACCAAAGCTTTTAGATGCAATTAGAGAAAAACCTGCCTCATTTTTCCTTAAAGGATGACAAAACACACAAGTGCTTGCTCCCAGTCTTTCTCACATCACACTAATTGGTAACATGAAATACAAATATGTTTGGATGTAACCATTAAAATCTATAAACAAAGCTTTTATGTGGTTTTTAAAATCTCTGAAATGGCAAGTAATATTTTATATAAATACAGTAAGTACTTTACTGATCTCATTCGTGTCACAAGTATGTCTATGTGAAATCAAATAATTCAAATATTTGGTTTTCTTCCCTTTTTTTCCCTGTTGAGAAAGCCTTCTAGAGGATCAGTCATGCATTGTGCTACTTTTCAACATCAGAACTTAATTTTAAGAAGTGGCCTTCAAAACCTGGCAATTTCTTCATGCTCTGTATCAAATCAAGAATTTGGGTTTGAGATCATCTGACAAGAAACTCCGTAGGGAATAAATGAAGAACTCCATGTTATCAAAATTACCCATCAAAAACTTGAACTCATCTGCTGTTGCAGTCAGACCACAATCACTACACACCCAGTTCTATTATTCAGAGCTACCTTTTTACACACTTCATTACTCATTTTCCTTCTGCAGCACAGAAGACTTTCTTCTTCCTACCAATTTCAGGCTGTGTTTTGGGACTCTTCTTGTTAACCGTGTCATATTACATATTATTTCACAAAGCTGCTTCCAATAACAACCCATAAATCTTCCAAGTGATGCCTAAGACAGGGCCTGTTGTCTCCACTGCAGGTGATTGTTGAAGGCTGCATAGGAGCCGGGCAGTCCATCAGTTTGCTCGTGTCTACTGTCAATCACAGCAGTTCTATTAAAAACACTCCCTCCTGAGACGAGGCAGAAGCAGAAAACCTGCCAGCAGATAATTTAACAGCTGCACATCCTTGGTCTTCAACAGAATTTCACTGTGAGGAAAAGGAGAATTGGGCCGTGCATCTTCTGAAGGGCTGTTCTTCAGCAAGAAACCCACATTTCATATGGAATGTCCCTGCTCCTTGGACAAGTTACTTAGGGTAGAAGCTACATATTTTGGTTCCTGGTGTAATCAAACCATTCTCATCCCATCAAAAATATGGCCATTTTCCATTTATTACAGAAAAATGTCAAGAAAAATGGTATTTAGACAGCCTGAACACTGCTCTTCACTGTCTTCTGAATTTCCTTCCTGTCCCTTGTATAGTGTCCCATATTTTCCACATATGGTTCACTTTAGATAAGCACTTACTCATGCTTCTTCCTGGTTTTAATCTTGGAAAGCATAAAACAAGCTGTTGTGAGTTTGCAATCTTCCAAGTTTTCCTGTTTGTTTCTGGTAAAACCGCAGACTACAAGTTACCAACACAACACTTCTCACTTTTTCCTTCAAAGAAAAGAACTGACAACAGATCCCTGAAGTGGATGAAGGAAAAAAGGTGACAGTTTTTTTGTGAACTGTGAATCTCCCTCATTTTCCCAGGAAATCAGCTTTAACTCTATGGATTCAGTCCACACAGGTTAGAAATGGTGCCTGACCTTTTGGCATTCCTTTTCCCCATTTTGGATCTCCCTGACTAAAATGTTACAGCCACCATTCCAAGCTTCTCACATCCCTTCCTGGGGTTACTCTGGGGAACTCCTGCAGTGCAACCATCCCATTACACAGGGGGAAGCAGGGGAGATTTGAAAAAAGCCAAGTGATTTGCCCAAGATAATACATGTTAACAGCATCAAAGTGGGGCCTCCATGCTCAGGATAATCCTGTGGCCCAGGCATTATCCTTCCCTCTTCAACTTCTGCATCCTCAGTGTGCTACACAATCCAGGAAAACACACATTTGAAAAGAAAACAGCGAATTCCAAAGATTGACTATCCAAGTGATGCTTGATCAACATTAAAAGTTCACTCTGGATCAACAGACACGTAACTTGTCATCACATCCCACAGGGCTGCACAAAACACTCCTCGAGTAACTTCTCTCCAACTGCCCACAATCAGATTACTGGGAATAATTAAAATCTAATGGCTTGTTTTATAATGGAAACCTCTCCAAGCTGCTGTCTGGTATCACTTCAGCAGCCAGTCACTGCCACAGTCGAGCAGAGAATTCCTGTTTCCCGTCTCACCAGCCCCTCCAGGCCAATGCATGGAGTGCAATCCTCAGGGAACAGCCACAGGGAGTGGAAATATGAACCAGGGCACAGCACTTGGAAGTTACAACATGACCATCTACACATCTCAAGACTGAAGAAACAGACTGCACTGAAAAGAGGACTTATAACAATACAGAAGCCTTAACCCTTATCAATATCTGTGATTTAACCTCCTCAATAAAAGCTGCAACCACCACCAGGACAGTCTGCAATCAAGAGAAGAGCTGTCTGTATACAGTGCACCCAGAAAAGCAGCTGTTCTGCAACTCTTTATTAATTATTTTAGTGTAAAAATTCCAGCTTTCAAAAATGGCTTTTTAAAATTTACAGACAGGAAAAAATTTCATTGGAGCCACTCAAGAAATAAACAAGTATCACACAGTAACCAAAAGGATGGGGGATATTTTTCTTTTACTAGAAAACATAGAAAAAAAAAAAGCTATTTCAGTTCACCCTGAGTGTGTGATCCTTCATCCTGCAGCAAATGAACAAGACTGGGTTTTAATCAATTCCTATTTGGATCTAACAGTTCCAGTCACACTGGGAAAATTTAATATAGAGCAAAACACAGAAGCCACGAGAGGCAAAGACACCCCATCAGAGCTATTTCTTCTTCTGTCAACAGCACTCAAGGGCTGACCCTCCTAAATATGAAAGGCTGGAGGAGAAGGGATAATGATTCCTGGGGAGATGCCCTAATTAGGAGTCACAGACAAGACAGATCTGATCAGTCCAGAACAGAAAAGGCTGTGTGTGTGTGTTTGGGTTTCCCCAAGTTTGAAGTCTAAGTTTGTACAGGATTTCTGCTCCCTTATTATACATAAAAATAATTGTTGCCCAAGGAAATAACTCAGGTTACCAGATGTTAAATGCTGCAGAAAACCCTAGATGCAAAGAGGGGAGAGTGAACACGTGTTGGATAAGAGATGGTAGGTCAGAGAAACTCAGCACAGCCCCCTACATCACCTGAGACATTTGCACACTGCTCAGGAACAGTTTATCCTTCTATCACTGCTTTGTCGCCTTTAGGGCACAGCTCCCACATTCTTTTACCTTCCTACTTCCCATCCCATGCCCTTCTCCTATCCACCTCCTTTTCACTCCAGCTACTTGATTCACGGGAGGGTGGTGGGTGTATTTTTGTGCTTATTCATGAATCCAAACAAGCACACATTTCTAGGCAGTACTATTTGTCTTTGGAGGAAAAGCAGAGTACAGTGAGAGCAGTAAGTCAGTAAGGACATTAACAGATGATGGTGTGGGTTTGAGAAGAGCAGAATAAAGCAAAATTTCAAAGTGCTCCCATATTAAAGCACGTGGGTTAGACCATGGAAAACCCACAGATCACAGAGAATACCCAGAATTGTGCTTTTAAAACAACAATCCATGTATTGCAAAGTCTTACCTGGAACATGTCTGTATCCTTATCGTGAGTATATTCCACTATAACTGTCTGATTCCTGGACAATGTGAAAGAGATACTGTGCTGACCTTTGGAGCTGATTGCCTGGTGAATAAAACAACAACAACAACAAAGAGATGTCTATTACACACAAAAATACTGTAATCAAATTCATTTTGCTGCATAAACACCTTTGCTGCGATCAGGAAGAGCAGTGTATCGTGACATGTTATTACAAGGCTGGGTAAACACACACAATGGGATCTTTTGGTTTGTTTTTAATGGAAAAGCCCAAGCTCCACTTGTTTGTTTCTAGTTCAGAAGCACCCAATACTTACCATTTTTATAGTTTAAACTCCGAACACCTTCTCCCTCTGAAATTATATTCAGTTCCTAACCTTTATATCAATTTGTAACCTAGGACAGACTTGGGGTTTAGGGAGTTTTGGCTGGTTTGTTTTTAGAGCAAGTGAGCAATCCAACTGATTTCCAGTTAAAAGTGCCAGGATTTCAGGGATATCATTACCATTAAGTAAATTTCTGGTTATATGAGAAACAGCCTAACAATTTTATATAAATGGTGACAAAACCCAAGCACTTGCAAGGGGTTTTTTCCTCATTAAAGGAACATTACTACTTGTCAAAGTAAACTAGTTATAGATATGGATTTAGCATCAAAGACTAAATAGTATTTCAATATTTAAAAGAAGACTAGAACAGGACAACTCCTGTTTTCTGCTGTATCTTACCAAGATTAAGAGAAAAGAGCTGAGAAACTAAATCTATTGGCTAACAAGGGTATAGATGTAAATATAAGGTCCATATAACTGCACACAATTCTGAAAGGTAATGAGTGTTACTGCTCAGAAAACACTTTGCAGACACTTAAGCAGTGAATTAATAGGTTAATTAAGGCTTTCTCCAGCTTTCAGCTGAGGGGATAATTTCCTCCAAGAGGTTCTCACTTGCTCCATTCCTTCATACTGCTTTTCACCTAAGGAATTCACAGACAGGGATGATTAAACTAAACAACTAAATATATTCCACTCATCTGTCTGCCATCTCTCACAAAAGCCTAAATTATGCCAAAGCCACATCAATTATTGAACAAATCATTAAAAATCTTTCTGAATGTTGGAGGTATTAAAAACATCTATGTGCATACTAAAAGCCTACCAAGGGTTAGCAAGGGTAATTTGAGACAGAATTATTGAAAACACATAATGGAAGGATTGTTCTCTTGCAAACCTCCCGCATTTACAACACCAGAGATGCTTTTACAACACACCTCCTGCTGAAAGCTCTCAGCAGCTCCAACGCTTGCTAAAAGATTTGGGCTTAGGTGACAACACCTGGAGGGAAAGGATTTAACATCTTTGTGGGAGACAGGGACAGTGGGATTGATGGAGTCACAGTGAGTTTGCTGGTGAGGGAAGGGATGGCATCCAGAGGGACCTGGGACAGGCTGGAGAGGTGGAACCATGCAAACCTCATGAAGTTCAACAAGGCCAAGGGCACCTGAACCTGGATCAGGGCAATCCCAGGCACAAACACAGGCTAGGGGGAGAATGGATCGGGAGCAGCCCTGAGGAGAAGGACTGGAGGTGTTTGTTGAACAACAAGCTCAATGTGACCCAGCAATGTGCACTGGCAGCCCAGAAAGTAAAATGTGTCCTGGGCTCATCCCACAGCGTGGGCAGCAGGACAGGGAGGGGACTGTGTCCCTCTACTCCACTCTGGTCAGACCCCTCTGCAGTGCCACCTCCAGCTCTGGGTCCCCAACATCAGGAGGACATGGAGCTGCTGGAGCGAGTCCAGAGGAGGCCACAAAGATGATCAGAGGGCTGGAGCAGCTCTGCTATGGAGACAGGATGAGTGTTCAAGGCCAGCTTGGACAGGGCTTGGAGCAACCTGGTCTAGTGGAAGGTGTCCCTGCCCATGGCAGGATGTTGGAACTGCACAATATTTAAGGTTCCTTCCCACCCAAACCATTCCGTGATTAGGCAAGACAACCTTTCCCAGTCCCTTCCCAGTATTTCTTTTCTGCAATAAATCTCTTAAAACTTTCAAGACACAGCTTCCCTGATTTTGTTCCAAGATTGTAACAGCTGAAAAGTGATGCAAACACATTTGGCAACCAGTGATATGCAGATTCTGAATTTCCCAGCCTATTTATAGTGTTTTGCAGTGACCATTATGCTGGCACACACAGCGTGCTGCAAGAACAAACAGCATCAAGATGCAACTTGGATGGAGTCACAGCTGCTGTGACCTGCTGGGACACTCTGGAATGTGTATGGAAAGTTTTTATTCTCTATGCACGTCTGACAACTATCAAGGGGATCTCAAGCCCTCAGGTGTTCCTAGAATATAAAGGAAATAAAGTGATAAACAGGAGACCCTTACAACTTGTGTTTTCAGCTTAACATGGCAATAATCAATTTATATTTGTATTACCAGATATCCCCATTTCAAACGTCAGAAAGGAAGAGCTTTCACGCACAAGATTTCCTTCATTCCCACAGAAATGTGCTGCAGCTGGGATACAATGAAGGACAAAATTCCCAGGCAGGGATGTGTGCCCTAAGCTTGTCAGACAAGTTCCTGCATCAAATGGAAGCTTTGGCGAGACCCAAAACTCCAAGTTTTAAGGTCTGATGGAAATAAACACAGAGGGAAATATTAAGACATCCAGAATTCCTTAGTGAGGTCACGTCCTAAGCCTGCAGAGCTTAAAACTTAGGTATGTTAATAATACTGACCTGGGTCAGCGTGTCCTCTGAAATTCCAGGGTAGGACAATCTTTTCTGTGTGTGCTCCTTTCCCTCCTCGACTTTTTTCCCTCATCTACTTCCTCTCCTCTTTGTTTTCCACTATTTAAACCCAGTTAGTTTCAGTGAGAAATGCTACATTTAATTTCCTGGAATTGTGTAATCATTTTTAGGAAAAAAAAACCACCCCAAGAACATTATGAGAAACGTTTCAATTTGTGTGCTCTCACAGTCTGCTCAGCACCAATTCAAAGACACTTTACAGGCAGTTTAAGTGCTGGTCTCAAAGCAATTGGCCACTTATAAGTGGAAAAAAAAAATAACAGTATTTCAGGAACTACACAAAGCAGTGAAAGTTTAGTATCCTAATAAAACAATATTGAGTGGAATGCAGACACAGGCAAATCCTGAAGGATTTTTGACAGCTTGAGGTACAACAGAACCACAGTACTGTGAGTCCCAAAAGAGCCTGGAGACTGATTGCACCAAACCCCTTAAAATTGGTTTGTAGCAACCAAAATAGTGAGTTTGCCTTTTTAACTGCTTTTAGTAGTCAAATTTCCAGACTTTTTTTTTTTTTTCCTGGCAGCAGGATTTCCCTCCCCAAACTCCCTGATTTTGTCATGTAATTGCCCTGCTGTGGTCACTGAAGTCGTGAGAAGAGCCCTGACCCTTCAGGATCTGGAGCAGCATCACAAGTTTTAGGAGAAAACTTTAGAGGTCCAGGCTGGACAACACCACAACCAACTTTCTGGCAGGAATTAAGACACAAAAGAACAAACATCTGGCACTAAACTTTACCTCTGCCTTTTCACCTCCACCCCAAGGCTGCCAAAATCCACCACAGCAATAGTGAGTATTTTTAAAGCTTGTAACTCTTGGGTGTGTGGAATTGTAAAATCATTTATGTTCTAAAAGATCTTTAAAATCATCATATCCAACCATAAATCCCAGGACTGTGGTTCCACCCGAGTGGCTGTGGAGGATAACACTTCCTTCAGACACTTCCAGCATTTTGGGCTCCTTTACTCTGCCCTGTGGTTAATTTGAGATCAGTTTGCTCCTATCTTTGAGGTTCTTAAAGATTCATGAAAATTATACATTAAATTCAGGAAAAAAAAACACCAAAACTACCCTTGGTTCCTAAATTCTGGAAAAGCCTCACTAATATATATAGCCTTAGCTTGGCAAGCAAATCCAAAGCACATGTCACCTCTTGTGTTTTAGGAATGCTGGTGGGGAGATACAGGCTGGAATTATTCAGCTGCTGGATTAATTCAGCCATAAAACAACAGATTGTTTTATATGGTGAACTGTCTCAAGCTGCTGAATTCAAGCAATTCCCTTTGGAGGAAACAGATAGGAAAGTGGAGATTAACTGACAAAAACCCTGTGCAGGAACAGAGGGAAAAAAATAAAGAGATTCCTCCAGAATAATTCCACTGTTAGTGACTCCATGTCCACACTGGCACTGAGGAATTTGAAAAGTCCAAATGCCAAAGAAAAGGAACGGGGAATCCTGAGGTGCCATATTTTGAAGGGACAGATCTCCCCAGCACCATTCCAAGACAGAGCTGATGTTTGCACAGCAATCCATCCGTCTCCATGAGGTTTTCTAGCTGGGGGACAGTTAAGCCAAGCAGGAAGACTCCTCTCCTCCCCCCTGCCCAAGGCAAACCCCACACGGCTCCCCCACTGCCTCCAGATTCGTGTTCTGGTGATTTCGGGTCCAAAGACTGAAAGGAGAAGGCCCCCAGCCCACACCCCAACAACAACATGGCCTAAGCAAATATTACTCTTGATTTCTTTCACTTTTCAAGTTCACTAGTTTTCAAGTTTGCAGTTATATCCTTCCTTGCTGGCTGGAATTACACTCGGCCCTGGTTTTTCCCCTGCCTCCTTATACACACTTTTTCATTCTTGCTCCTTTCTCTGCGTTTTGAGAACAAAAACCTCGTTGTAGCCCTTTGCCCCGGCAATCAAAGCAGCAGCCAAAGGCTACGACTTACAAATCTGTCGGGTCTCGGAGGAGCCAAGATCAAACAGAGATCAAACACAACCTGCTTCCCCAGCAGCAACACTGCAAAACCCTGGAATAGCACAGCCCACCCCAAATCTGTGCTCTGCACTGGTGGGAAGGTGGGTGCCTTCATTCCAAGAAGGGAGAAAGTAGAATAACCTCACCCCAAGTATAAAAACACCTTGTAGATAAAGGAAGTAAGAATTTACAATGGTTATATCTAAAAACAGTATTTCCTAGTGGTTGGTTTGTGGGGTTTTTTAAACGTAAGTATAGAAGAAGGAGGGAACTAAAATAAAAATAATACTAAAAAT